ACGTTTGGATGTTATAAGGAATCCTGCCGGTACATTCACCTACCTTTTGAGGATTAGGGTTTCATGGTTAATTATGTTTAATTAATTCTAATTAACAAGATTAAATAAATAATCATCAATCTTAGTTAACACTAACTAAACATAGTTACACTAAGTAAACCATGTCATTAATCTAAGGTTAGAATATTCTTTCACAATGTTCACGTGGGCTCTAAGGTTAGAATATTCTTTCACAATGTTCACGTGGGCGTGGGCGTGGGTGTGAACATAGATTTTGGTGGGGAGATCATCTGGGAAATGGGGAGGGTGCCTGCAGGTAGGAGCAAGGCTGCTGCAAAAGCCATTGCTCAATCAAAGCAATCTTTGTTAAGTTTTGCCCCCATTGGGTTTTGTAGATGAGGACAACCTGGAGGGGACTGAGCCTGAGGAGGGATGTGAAGTGGGAGAAGGTGATGCTACATCAGTAGAGGAGAAGGAGAAGAAAATTCGTAGGGGGAAGTGGCAACCTGCATGGGTCATAAAATGGCGGTGGTTGCATTTTGATCAGAAAAATGGTAATAATTTTCTTGATTTTTCATCTAATCCTACTTGCATTACAGCATTGATCTTCTGCTCAATATGCCGTGCCAACAAGAATTGCAAGAATCCATTTGGTACATAAGTTCCACCAACATGAAGACTTCAAGTTTCCATGCTCATGGGCAAACAAAAGATCACAAGCATTCCATTTACATAGCTGAGGTGAAAGCTGGCGGTCAATCCTCCATAGCAACTGCAAATGATCGGCAACGAGAGGCAGCAGAGAAGGGAGTTATTTGCTTGTTTAGGACTGCTTATGCTATTGCACAAGGTTTTGTTCCTCTTCGCAAATACCCATTGCTTCTGGAGCTACAACAGTTGAACGGAGTTTATGTTCCTAGCATGTACAAGAACGTGATGGCCTGCTCACGCTTCATCACTTTCATCAACAAGGTGAGCTAAAGTCTGATGATAAACCTTGACTGAATTTTGTTGTGTAGGTGCTCTTAGATCAAATTTTGGAGAAAGTTAAAGCTAGCCCATTCTTTGGAATAATGCTAGATGAGAGCACAGATATAAGGTAAAGCTGATTAGTGATATTCTTGGTTCTAAATTTGTTAATGCAGTACCAGTAAACACCTCATCTTTTACGTGACCTACATCCACGATGCAAGGGTGTTGACAAGCTATTTAGGCTTGTCAATGGTGAACAATAGTTCTGCAGAGGTGATTTTTAACACCACCATAGCTTCACTGCAGGATTGGGGGCTGGATATGAGCAGGTTCGTGGGGTTTGGTTCAGACAGCTGCAATGTTATGACAGGAAACAGGACAGGGGTTGCAGCAAGGTTGAAGGAGGTCAATCCATTCATGACCTCCACACATTGTCTTTCACACAGAGCTAACTTATGTGTGGAGGACGTCTACAAGAATCCAGCAGTTCATAATCTTTGCGATGAAGTGGATCAGGTGGTGAACAAGGTAGCCAGTTTTTTCTCAAGGAGTTCTAGCAGGTTGCAGCAGCTACAGGCACTATAGGACGAGCTAGACTTCAAGGTGCTGAAGGTGTTGCGGATCCAGCAGACATGTTGGTTGAGCAGGGGTGGAGCCATTACCAGGATGTGTGAGTGTCTGGAACCACTACTCAAGTTTTTTAAGGACGGGAGAACAACTCAAACAAGGAAGCTGTATGACCGTCTCAGGAGTTTCAAGTTCCTTTATGCACTCCACTTTCTAGGAGATATCTTGGCAGTGGTAAATCAGCTGAACCTGGAGTTTCAAGCACAGACTATGGACGTGACTAGTGTTGCACCTTTATGCAAGGCAACTATGGCCAAGATACAGGTATACTATTTGGATAAGCAGGTGGATTTGAATGGTTTTCAGTTGGATAGCAGAGGATATCCTATAATCCCAGATGGTGGACGCCGCAATGGTCCTTTGGATGAGCTCAGGTCATCAGTTAAGGGAAATGAATACAGAGACATGGAAATGATCAGGTCGATTCACGGAGAAGATTTAGAGGAGGTACTAGAGTTTCAAAAGAACTTTGGCACTAGTCTTTTGGAGGGTATAAGGACCAGGTTACAGGACTCTGAGGCGACTGGTATTCTCTCCAAGTTCCACTTTTTAGCTCCTATCAACTTACCTTCATCAGTGCGTGAGTTGAAAGCTTTTGGTAAGTTTGAGGTTCAGGAACTTGGAAAGTTCTACACAGGGATGATCAATGAAGCAGAGCTGGCTGAAGAGTATAGTTTATGGAAGATAATAGCTTCCGAGGAGTGGAAGGGGAAAACTTTCGTGGATGTTTGGGGAATGATTTATGCTCACAGTATCTGGACGAAGAAGTATCCCAACTTGCTGAAGTTGGCAATGGTCGGCATGGTTCAATGCTGCAACATTGCATCATGTGAGCGTGGGTTTAGTAGAATCAACTTGGTGAAGAATAAGTTTCGAAACCAAATGGGGACAGAGATGGTTGACGAGCTTGTGAGGATCTCTATTGAGGGTCCGCCAATAGCTGAGTTTGATTTCGAAACAGTGGTGCAAGCATGGAAGGAAGGTGCAGCTTATAGGCATATTTATACAAGCTAAAGTGACGGTTTGTAGATGTTTAACTTCCTTATAGTTTTCATATATTAAGGAATTTATCCGAATGAGATTTCCTCTTTTAAGGATTATGCCGGTACAAAAAAAATATATCCTATTCATTTTAAGTATTCAAGGATTTTTTCCAGTACACTAAAAATACTTTGTTACACACTGGTTCTCTGCGTAGCCTTACACCGCAGATGAAGTTGCTTGTGTTCTCGGCCTGCATTCTTGTTCTCTTCTCGTGCCATGGACACGCAGTGATTTCTGTGCAGCAAGGCGATCTGTCGGAGGTGGACAGCTCCATGGCGATCCTGAGAATGAGCGGCGACTCCCTCCACAAACAGGTATGGTGGCAGTTCCTCCCCCTCCAGGACAGGCGTCCCGAGGCCTTTCTCCGGTACATGGTTGGCGCTGTACACAACCAGTCACGCTGCGATTTTGGGCACGAAGACCAAAATCTGACGGATCGGGCTAAATCGGAGATCAGGCAGAAGAAGGGTCTGTTAGGCACGAGGGGAGCAGCCATTGCAGAGTACCAGTCCGTCGACCACATCAAGAGCCTGGGAACGATGCGTGTCACAGTATGGATCCTGGCTTACTTGTGTGTTGGCGACAACACCAAAGATGACAGTAAGGCTTGCGACAGTGTGGCTCCAGTCATACTCACTACGATCGGGGAGAAGCCAGCGTTTAGAACAGTCTGGGAGGTGTCCGAGTCCATAAGAACCTCTAAAGAGAATGGAGAAGATAAGTTTAGCCAGACAGTTAGCAACTCTTTAACAGCAAGAATTCTCGAGCTCTCCAGCAACAGCCGCCAAGTCAAGTTGCTCAACAGCTCGGATGTGAAAATCAAAAGCTTTCAAGATGGCACACTTATCTCCTGCTCAAACAAGACGAGGACTGACAGTAAAACCAGCGCTAGACGTAATTTAATGTACGGAGATGAAGATGAAGATGCGACGGGAAGTTCCGGAGTTAAATCGGTGATAGATGAGACGGGAAGTTCCAGAAATAAAACGCTGGTGGGAAGTTCCGGAACGAAACAGATGATAGATGCGACGGGAAGTGTCGGAGATAAACAGATGGCGTCCAGAGATTTTTCAACCGCGGGGCAGGCCTGGAGGGTGCAGGCCCAGAGGGTGCAGGCCGAGACAATACTGGGCATAAAAGCTGTCGTGAAGAAAGCTTCTGACGCGGGTTACTATGCAGTGGAGAGATGCTATCAAATGGACGACAAATTCAACAGCACAAGTAGCAAGCAATACTGCCGGGTTTTGGGAATGGAGCAGCCACTAAATTTTCTAGGAGAGGAAGACAATATCAGCAAATGCGAGCAACAAGTACACACACCTGTTTTAGCGTCTGGCTCGACGGGAAACTTTGTTGCATGCTCAAACTCTAGCGCCGATGGCGAAGGCTACCTGTGTGTCCAAGGCAATGGGAACCGAACAGACGTGCTATCGCTGTTCCACCGATTATATCCACCTCCGGCATCCTGGAGGAACGACACAAACTTTTCAGAAATAAACAATGTCCAAGGCCTTACCGACTGTGTGGTGCCAGCAGCGAGAGATATGTGCCTGGCAGGCACCGATTTCATCCCATCTTTCAATGATACCATAGATTCCGAGGTCGGTATCCTTGAAGCATACCTCTTCCAGCTCAAGAACCTGTACATCCAAGCTCACAGCTCGGCTCTCAACCTGGAACAAGGAGCCGCCACGGATTTCTGGGTGGCAGCCATCGCTCTTCCCAGCACTTTCATCGCCGTGGTGGCTACTACAGAGCCACTCACAAATTCACAGCTAAGTCGCCTTCGTTCAAAAAACTTGAGAAGGAAAACCCGCTACCTCAAGACCGCACTGCTGTTGATCGCCAACTTGCTGCTGGCCATCGTCTCCTACTCGGCTGTCATCGCCATGATGGGCACAGAAATGCAGAGGCAGGCGAAGTTCGTGACCTGGGGACTCCACGCCGACCAAGTCCAGATCACGCAGCGTGGTCTCCAGGTGCTCGCGGTTATTCAGGGAGAATCCACCTACAAGTCCAAATCCCTCCTCCTGGCGTGGATTTCCATCGCAGCGCTGCTGCCAATCGTGGCACTGATCACCGTCCGCCGCTGCATGCAGGTGTTCGAGATCCAGGAGCTGCTGCAGAAGGGGAGAGCGCACAAGTTGGAGTTACCCGGCGACGAAGCGGGCGACGACCTGCGCGCAATCGAGATGACGAGGGCGCAGCACGAGGACCTCAAGAAGGCCATGGAGAGGGCGCAGCACGAGGACCCCAAGACGGCCATCGAGAGCGGCAGCAAATGCAGCAGCGATGAAATCGAGATGACGAAGGCGCAGCACGACCTCAGCGGCAGCAAATGTAGCGGCAGCCCAAAAAGAGAAAAAAACACAAGTTTGAGTTTAGAACATTCCATATTTAGATCTACCTTTTCTAAGATAAAGTCATCGTGCCATAACTCTTGGGCCGCCACCTTTCCGGTTGACAATGTCGCGCCGCTCAAAAGGGCCTGGTTCGCTGGGGGTAACCAACACGTGGCACGTGGTGAAACGGCTACTGCTGGCCCTGCGTGTTCTTCGAGTGGGGACTTCAAGATCGTTCGCTACTCCATGAACTTGGGCCATCAATCGAGTGATTATCTCCGCTACGGTCACATGGTGTCCGCCATGCAGCAGCAAAATCTCCTCCAGAGCATCGTCCAGGTCCAAGCTTTCGACTCGCGGAGCTAACAGCGCATGGAAGGAGTCGGACGTGAGCGTCGTCGAGTCGTGCCGGGATCACGACGCGCTGCGCGGCGTCTGGGAGTCGGGCAAGTGGATGCCGGCTCCTTCTTCTCCCAGAAAGGGATCGAGTGGCCTCTGGTTGACGACAGTGACCACCACCAGTTTGTGCTGTGCGGCGCAAGATTCTCGACTTCTGGCACTTTGATCGCAGCGCAGCCATTCTCGGGCCGACAAAGTGCTGGATCGTGGATGTGCCCACGTCTTCCGGGCGTGTAATGTTGTGGATGGAGTGGTGGTGCTGGAGCTCTGCCTTATGACGATGACGATGACGAGGAAGACGAAGGGGAGTGGGAGGAAGACCAGCCTGGAGAGAAGAGCATGGGCCCGGAGCAAGAGGAGAGAAAATGCCAAACAAGGAAGGACTTGATGAAAAGCAACAGGAAGAGAACAAGATTTTGGTGGTGTATAATTCAGCAAGAGAACAAGATTTTGGTGGTGTATAATTCAGCAACTGCGAGGTGGCGGAATTTACCGTACATCAAGAGCATCCGGTATGACGCTCTTTACTTCAGGCTCAACAACACTTCAAGGACGAACAAACAAAGAACTTGAAGCACAAGAGATAGGAACTATATGTTTGGAATTTACCTGATGTTGATTTAAAAGTTTTCCTAAATGCAAAGAAGAGTTTGTGGCTTCAGACCACGCGAGTGATGCTGATCTCTCCAGTCTGTGAATCGAAGGACGCGTTGAGCTCTAAAGTCTCCGTGGCTTGCAGTGGCTTTCGGAAAAGCTTGACGCCCTGCTTCCAGCCTAGACGTAAAACGAAACTCCTTGAGATGAGATGGAGAGAATCTTACTCACTTGGATTTAAAAGTCCCGTTGAAAGTACCAAATCCTTGTTCTCGGGATCCATCACCCAGTCCATCCACAGGACAACTCCATGGCAGAGCCCAGTCTTTACAACGCTAACCTGTGCAAAAGTAGCAGAAAACATTAAGTGGTACCAAAGAGGACAGAATTGAATAACCTTTGCAAATCCACTTAGACTCTGAATTTCCTCACGCATGTTGAACTCGAGCAGCGAAAACGGTTTTGTCAATGACCTGTGATCAAAGCCATCGACTTCTTCAAGGCGACAGCGGCTTTGCCACAAATCCTGATTTAGCCAACATGAAACCAAAGTCACTGCAGAGAAAATAATCAACTTACAGGAAGATGACAAGCCATCCCATAGAGAATTCCAAAGCAGGGAACTATAATAGGGTTCTCTGATAGCAACGGACTTAGCGTCGTTCTCTCGTACCTGGATTCTCACTGCTTTAAAACAACTTCCAACTCTTTAGAAAACGAAACGAAAACGAACCAAAACCGAAGCTGCTTCCACGGCAACGCATGCTCGTACGTGGCGTAATAAGGCTCCCCTAGAAGAACATCCACCTGTCGCGAAAAGAAAGAAACCCGTCCATATCCAATGGAGTTGCAAGACTGTATACTTTATGCCCCTTGAAATCGTCCCCAGTGAGATGCTTGACGTCTTTGTGTATAGTAGACAGCTTGCTCGCGACGCTCTCCAAGTACTTCAAGCCATCTCTTCTACAGCCTGGAAACAAGCCAGCCACATGGCAGGATCCATGCGGTGTAGATAGAGCACACACGGCGCTCATCAGGCCGTCATCCCGAATGAGACAGTTTCCAAGTTCTCGTTCTCCAAGCTGGACAGAAAGAAAAAGAAACAATCGTACTCACAGATTCAAAACACACTTACAGCTTTCTGAATGGCAGACTGTATGATAGAACGCCTGCTACCGTCACCAAGCATGCGACACCTTTGTAGGCTCAGCTCGAAACCAGACGCTGAACTATTACAGCATACACCACCATTGATGTCATACCGCACTGACGCTTCATCATGGCTGACTACGACGCGAAGCTCCGACTGCTCCTCCACCGAAACACCTTGTCCAGGAAGAAACCACACACATTGTTTCCAATGGTCACACCACTCGCTTGCCCCTGAGAACACAAATCTGCGGAGTTACTCAAAGAATCGAACAGGAAAACAAACCTCTGATCCAACGAGGAGCAGTTGAGTAGCAAACCAGGCCATCTTTGTCAAGCTGCAGCACCCACCTTGTCAAGTTCAAGCAGAGAAGAAAGCGAACCAAGAAGTAGCGAATCCGAGCAAGTTTCGTACCATGAAACTATTGCGTGAGCAGTCCCAGAGAAGTTGACATGCACGGCTTGATTAAATTCTCCACGCACATCTGGAGCTCTATAGAAGTCAAGAACGAAGGCCTCAAACGGCTCGGAAAGCTGCAGCGCCACGGGTTTTGGTAACTTGTAAGAGAACTCTACTAAATTACCAGCTTCATACCGGGGATTTCATCAACGTGAAACGCATGCTGTCTGTGCTTGAAGTAAGAGTAGAAATCATTGGGAGCGAAAGCCAATCCGTCCTGCAGCCGGTCTTCTACCCCTTGAAGGTCGTGCAATCTCCAGAGAAAGTCGCTCTCGACTAGCTAAGAGAAAGAAGTAAACTCAACACTGAGCTAAGAAAAAAGACTTTGCTATATACCTGGGCATACACAGTAGCTCGATATGGCACTGTGGCAGCATTAGGCCGGAGTAAATGCTCATGAGCGTGCCTTAGACTTGGAATGATCCCTTCTCCAAGCAACTCCGAGTCTAAAATCTCACACACCTGGAGAGACAAAGAGTCCAGAGGAAACGAAGAAGAAGAATGTGTACAGACTTAACGTACCAATGCATCGGCTTTGCTAGAGATGTCCACCCCGACTTTGATCTCATCCGAGCGCATATGGAGCAGCTTGATCGCTCCCATCGTCCCATTGTCTCGGCAAACTTTGCGAGCCAGCTTGTACATTGGAAGAAAAGATTCGCAAGCAGTCACCTGGCACTGCTCTTCCATTGCCCGCCAAGCCATGAGCGACAAGAGCCCAGTGCCAGCACTGTCAAGAACGAGCTCAGGAAACGAAAGAAGGATCTCTCTAGCCTCACCCAATGTCCAGGACATGGCCATGGCGGCCGAGCTTCGCGATTGCTGAAGAGAATGCCCTGTTCCTGGCGCGATCATTCAGCATGTCAAGATACGAGCTCTCTGCCAGGGGATCGCTCGCATCGCCGCCGTCGCCTCCATCGCCAACGAGAATCCATTCGCTCTCCCCCGTGAGCGCATTCACCCGCTGCTGGAGCATTGCTTCCTTCTAAAACCCTAAACTCACAAAGAATGAAAGAATGACTGGGTGCTTGGAGCTCATCCATTGCTGTGCAACTCCATCTCAAGCTCTCCAAGCTCACTCCAGGATCCAATCCATCACTAGCGGCGACATCTTCCTTTGCAACAAGCTCATCCAGATGTACGGGAGGTGCTCTACTGTCTCTAATGCCCGCCGCGTGTTTGACTCGCTCCCCAGAAAAGATTCCTTCTCCTGGGATCTCCTGCTCAATGCCTACGTACTGAACGGGGTTTTGGCGGAAGCCCAGAGAATCTTTGCCCCACAAGAGCGTCATGCCTTGGAATGTGCCCTTGGCGGGATATGCCCGGACTGGGCATATGCAAGAGTGCGTCAAGATGTTCGAGTCTGCGGCATGCTCCGAGAATGGACGGCTGGATCTCTCCCAGCAGCTGTTTGGCAGTATTCCTTTGATGTGGCGACGTGGAATGGCATGCTGGCAGCGTATGCCCGTGCCGGTCGTGTAGAGGAATCTACAAACTTCCTAGAAGAGATGCCAGAAAGAAGCCTGGTTTCATGCACAACAACCATGTTTTTAGGGACATTGTCTCCTGGAAACTCAATGCTTGCGGCATATGCCAGTCACAGTTGCATAGAGCAGTCAACGTGCGTGTTTGAGAAAATGCCACAGAGGGATCTTGTGTCATGGACCACAATGCTGCTCTTGAAAAGCAAGTGTGGCGTACAGAATCGAGGAGATACAGCACAACTTCAACCCCGTGCCAGAGCAAGGCCTTTTCTTCAACACAATGCTCTCGGCATATTCTCAGCATGGGCATCTGACCAAGGCCATAAGAATGTTTGTAAGTCTCCCCCAACACGAATCTGCCACGTGGAATACTGTGCTGACAGTATATGCCGGTAATGGGCATCTGGGCAGAGATTTGAAGCTGCTGGCCCTGATTCCCGTGCCTGACATGGTTTCATATGCCGGGATGCTGGTAGCCCTAGCTCATTTGAGGCATTGGAACTGTTTGGTTCTCTAAAGACACTCCACCTCCCGGACTTGACGTGCTTTGTTTTGGGTCTGGTGGCTTGCAGCCATACTGGAAATGTGAGGCGAGGAAGGTAGTGCCTTTGCTTCAGTGGTAGCAGACTATGGAATGGAGCCAATCGATGCTTTGTGGATCTGTTGGGCCGGTCAGGGCATCTTAATGAGGCCATTGCAAACCTGCCATATTTTCCAGATGTTTTGGAGTGGACTAGCTTGCTTGGGCCAGCTATAGAGTCTTACAGAACGGGGGCTGTGCTGCAAACATGGTATTCAGGATGAATCCAGAGCAGGGAGGAGCATATGTATTGTTATCCACACTTTTGAACCGGTAACACTGACATGATCATCATCGTACAAGTAACTTTTCTAGCTAGCGGATAGTGGTCATTTTGTAGCATTTGGAATGTAGAAAGGCTGACATGGGAAAAACAAGAGAATTAATCCTATGTTACTAGTGTAGAAAGAAAAATATATTTTAAAGATTATTCCCACTATGAGTGCATGGAATATGAAAAGGGAATACAAATTAGCCCAAAAACCTTAGTTTATATACAGGAGCAAGTGGTCCGGATTGAAACCAATCCAACGGCTACCAAAATCCCACTACGCTAATATTAGTATATGGCATCGTAGCCATACACTTGGCCCTCACATCATCCCCTCCTCTCGGAATAATGGAAGGTCGTCAGGGTTCTCTTGTAGATGGGCCGGGATCTGGAGGAACGTCAGGAGGAGGCATCGGTGGATTTGTAGACGGTATTAACTGCTCTTGATCCCTTTGTATGAAGCGTTTTAACCGTTGCACATGCACAATCTCCGGAGGATTGGCTTGTTGAACATCATGCCGAACCTCATAAACTTGTGGTCCAACTTGCCGCAACACCCGATACGGTCCTTTCCACTGCGCAAGGAACCCCTTAGATAAACCACGTACCGTAAGATGGGGAAAATGGACTAACACCAAATCATCCACTTTGTACTCCGCAGGTGGACGATGATGGGAATTGTAGCGCCGTTGTTGTCCCACTTATACGCGGCCTAAGTGTTCAGCAGACTCTGCTCAGACAAGTGGAAGAATGCTTGTCAAATATTGATCCCATGACCTAGCATCAGGAGCTCGTGGCAATCGCGAAGGTAAACCCAACTCTGTTGGTAATATTGGATCATGACCATATAGAAGTTTATATGGTGAAGCACCAACAAAACTCTGCACCCCTGTGACATAGGCATACCGAAGAAACGGCAAATAACCATCCCAATCCGAATGCTGAAAGTTCACATACTTCGCAATCATCCC